AATGGTCAAGTTTGTCACTTTTAGTATTCCTTGGGAGAAGAATCACTAAATCTCAGCTAATGGGTGTTATCACTGTACTCCATTTCTAAGAATTTTGAAATTCTTAGAAATTTGGAATACTCCAAATCTAAGAACTCCTGAAATTTTGAAGTCCTCAAATTTTGAAGTCCTCAAGAGTATTAAAAAAAGAATCACACGATCCAGACTAGTTGTGGGTTTTCCTCCTGCAGAGCAAGGCTAATGGAAGAGGAGATACTAATGTAAAGCTATTTGAATCTCTTAATGCCTTATCCACTCTATCTGCTGCTCTTCGTTCTGTCTGAGCCCTTTCCATCCAAATGAATTACATACGATAATTTTGGGTGTTATAATAAACAGATAGGCACCATAATAATGTATTTCAGTTAGGAAGAGGTACTTGGAAGAAATTGGTTTTGCTATACACATGATGTGAGACAATCAATAGTGCTTTAGTCTGACAAGCACTGTCAATATTCATTGTCACAGTTCAGAAAGTCATTAATGGATAGTTCTTCAAAAACCAATGCTTTCAACACACTAGAAGTGTTCAGATATGCTGTACCTGGCAGGAATTAATCATAGGTAAGCCCTTGGGATTATGTATAAACGTTTTGTAAATTAGGAGTGAAATAAAAGTCATTGAAAGGAATGTGAAATCATGTTCTATGGAGTTACAAAATCTTGCCAATAAAATATGGGGCTGTTTAGAACATATTAAAACATTTTACTTTCTGAATCATTGAGGCTCTGCCCAGAACATCATACCCAGGAAAACAGTCTGCTAGAAATATACTGTCTAGGTACATGACTTGTGGTTTAGTTTCTCTACTAAATTCACAGAAAGTAGTCACATAAAAATGTTGATCCTTGCCCTGAAAAGGTTAGAGCCTTGCGTGGTCCTTTTAGTTGTGGCCATAACAAAACCCTGGAGAAAGGCTTTTGTAAATTTACCTTGTAAATATGTTATCTACTGCTTATTCCTGCTTAAATTATAATATGTTTACTCTCATTGCATCATATATACAATTCAGTGCATTAAATTATAGCAAGTAATTCTTCATCTGTAAATCTCAGAACTTCCATTGACTCTGATGGTACTATTTCTGCAGAACGGTGTGATTTGGAGGTAATGTATCAATTCTTTCCTTCCACCTGTCTTCTTGTGTAAAAGCTCTTGTACAGATTTTATTTTGTGGTTTTGCATTCTACTTGGGTTTTATATGTTACTAGGAATATTAAGGCTGGAGTTGTGGCACCGAATGAGTATTCAGAGGATGTATATAGACCCAAAAAAAGACAGGTCAGTTTTTTCTTGGTGCAATTTTTTTGCAGAGAATTTAGTCTGTCGTTATCCTTCCTAATTTGGCTGATGTTATTACGGTGCTATCCAACATTGAGGGCCAAAGATGTATTCTTTCTTTTATGCCTAATGTTGTGCTTATTATATTTGCTTCTGTACACAATCTGTACTACACTTCCCTAATGCGATAAGTTGTTGTGATTTAATACAGCTTAATTCTAGCACAAGTTATCTGAGGAAAAGATCTTGCAATTTTTTTTTCATGCGTCCATTAATACCTTCCCCACCTGTGGGAGAGGTGGGGAATAAATAGAGACCTAATAAAGTGGCCAAAGTCATCAGAAATGCTGTGAAGGTCCCACATTGCAGCCAAACGTGGAAGTCAGCCGGTATTCAGGTTATGTTTTTGCTGCTGGATTGAAGTGTCCATGCAGCCACTTGCACAAGCAGAAGAAATTTAGCATCATATTGACCTCTGTTGGGTTCCGCTCTGCGTGTACTGTAAAAGGCCCTGGCACAACAAGACCAAGCATGTGTGTCCTTTTTCCGTCTCAGAAGCTCTTAGTGCAATACAAGAAATACGTAAGAGTCTGTGAAGGGGAGGGGAATTATCCTTCTTTCTGTGTTGGTTTTGAAGCATTTGTGTAGAAATGTCAGTGTAAGTATCTTCAGAAATTGCATATATGAGTTTATTCAGTAAAATGAATCAAATGGCACACCTATGAAGTTTTTGCAAGGGAACGTACAGTAGAACAAGCAGTAGTTTTTATTTCCTATCATTTTATAGTTAGATCCTTGAGTTTCCTATTTTACTTCTGTATGGAACTGCTTTCCACTTTTTTATATGCTTTGAAGTTTGACAGATCTTTTTCATGGAGGATTCTTCTGGTCAAATCCAGAACCTGAAATTTAAAAAGGAAGGTACTCCAAAAAATATTTATTGTGGTTTTTGAGTTTTATAACTACTTTTTTTTTTCTCTTGGAAGTAACATTTGGTCTTCTTAGTATTTCCAAATTTAATACCGAAGTCATTTTAATGTGGGGATATCGCGAGAAGAATGGTTTGGCAAGAGAAGGAATACTTCTAAATAAGAACTCTACATTTCTGGCTAAGCTTGGTAGTAGAACATGCTATCTAAACCCTTGAATTTCTGGGAGGCTTGGAGTTTCCCTCTGGTGACTCACACACGTTTAATAGAATAAAGTAAGAAATTCATCAAAATTAACTTTGCTGTTGTTTTTAGCTGGGCTCTGTACAGTTCAACATAGAACATACAACAGTATCCATGACAATAATTGTTCCTACCTCTAGATGTAGTTTTAACACCATAATTGCTGTTTCAGGTTTAAAACTTCTAGCTGGGTGAATGCATCTTTCTACACAGAGGGATCTTTACCCTGCTCTCAAGTCCCCTGTCCCACCATTCACAGTATAACCACATTCACGTCAGTTAAAATATCGTAACAAATCTGGTGTTTACTTAGAGCAAAAGATGTAGTTTAAGTGGGCATGAAACACTTCAGAGCCCCGCAGAATGGGAAACGTGGCAGGCATCTTACATGACTTCAGAGATGCTTTCACTCCTGCATCATTTGCGCTGGGGAAGCTTCACTGTAAGTCAGGAAAAAGCAAACCTAAGTATGAATCGCCGTGGACAGAATGACCCTAAGCAACAAGAGAGTCCCCAAACTAAATACAATTCACTTCACTGTTTCAAAGTACCATTAAGATGCAGAATTAGAAACATCCATTTGTTGTTCTTTTTATAGCACAGCCAAGTGACTTGGAATTTTAGCTTGTCCCTGCCAAGGATTGCTCAATTTTGAACAAAAAGTCCTCCACTATAATGTTAAAAAAGCACCAGCCATCAATTGAATGCTAATCTTTATATTCTGTGATACATTACTCCAAGAATGCTACCATTAAAAAATGTGAATTCTATTTTTCATAAGTGATGGATTATCGTACCAAGCTGTGTATTTTCCAGTAAAGTGTCCTTTTATTTGTCCTATGTGATTACTAGTTTGTGGAAGTATGTGTGGGGTCATTTTAGTGCTGTGGGAAAATGGAGAACTCTTCTGTTAAAATCAGTAGTGAAATCAGAAGCAAACTATGCTCTGATCATCATAGGCATGTGTTTAAATATTGCTTTCCTTAATTGGCTATGTTCTATTTACTTAAAATGAACAATTTGGCAAGTTTTTCTCCCTTGACAACAGCAAAGCGTAAACCATTTTATAAGTTTGGCTGTTAAAATCAGATTTGTAATGTAAACCACAGTATTCCAGGGTTGTTACTGTTGCTTAACCAGTTTTTTTTCGCTTGCCATTGTTTCATAATTGTCCACCTTTAAATATTCTCGTGCTGTTTATAACGTATGCAAAACTTCTTGCTACAAAATAGCCCAATAATATTGACAATAGTTTTCTTTTTGCTCTGTCTCTCTTCCCCTGGTTTCCCTATGTGAAGATCACGGCATTGCAGGGGAGAATCAGTCTGGAAGGGGAGGTCAGGGAGCATCTCTCTAACCGCAGCTAAACTATCCAGGGTACTATTTAGAAATCCTCTCGAAGGGACAAGGGACCAATTCCTGCAAGTTCAGCTTGTGGACAACACTGTGTTTTGGTGGATTTATTTATTTCTTTTCAAGAGAAGACGGAAAGCTATTCTTTCCTCAGAAAGCAGAAGCCTCCTCCCGCAGCCGGAGGTCCGTGCCGGGGAAGGCTGTACCGCTCTGGCCGCCTCATTTCCCTGCTCAGCGTCTGGGGAATGGGCAGGGTGAGAGAGCCCAGGACACAGAATAAGGGTTTTTCAAGGGTGGTGAGGCTCAGGTGATTTGTTAGGAAAATTTACAAATCTTCTTGTTTGGGGAAAACTTTGGAGAAGGTCTTCCCATGGCATTAGTGCTGCTTCTGGAGCATCCGGCTTTCAGTGTTGAGTTTCTCCTTCCGACTAATACTGCCTATTCCGATAGCTATGGTGGTGCCCTGTAAGCACCTCAGCAGAGAAAAAGTTAAATGTATGCCTTTGAAACTTCCTCCAGGGGATTTTGTGCAGCTGGGTTCTATGTCTTTTTGACACAGAGCAGGAATAAATTGAGCTCAAAATGTTTCTCTGTTTGGTAAATGCCTTCATATAATAAAATATAATCATTAGGACAGGAATACTTTTCTTTCCATAAATTAATGCATCTTGCACACATTTCATGGCGTATAGCCATGTTTTCTGTAACTGCATTAAGTATATATATAACGCTTAATCCATCTTGGCAAGAGAATTCAGACCTTCACTAGTGGTGTGGCCATCCATCCCTGCTCATAACAAGTAGTATATAGCTAATAGTGCGTAGCACGCTTTGAGTCCAGAGTTCTAGTTGAAAAATCATCCATGTGAAACTTGTGGGGTACGTGAACATTTCATGAGTAAACTGGTCACCATCCAAATACTTACAGGCAATAAATAATACAAGTCCGTGAATAACCAGCAGAGTGAACTCATCGTGTTTGCTCACAGAAGTATTAATCAGATGTTTTGTACTATCCAACCAGCTACACTGCTGACCTACCGCATGATTTTACTGGAGTGGCTATGGCCATTATTTTCAAAGGATGTTTGAGCAGACTACTATTAGTTCAAAAATATCATTTCACTGAAGCTTTTTCTTGTTATTTCCTTTAGTTTTCAGACTGAACTACAGTGCCTCTGACACAAATGACAGAAACAGAGTTAAAAGCAGATTAAAGAAGTTCATCTCCCGAAGACCCTCCTTGAAAACACTGCAAGAAAAGGGACTTATTAAAGGTGTGTTTGGTCTTATATAATTTTTTTGGAGTAAAAAGTAAAAATTCACAAATGAATCTTTTTCATTCTCGGTTAAATGAATAAGTGCGTGGGACAAATACTCCTTAGATGTGGTTTTGTTGCTGTATCTCACAAAATTTATACTGCTGAACTGTAAAGAAAAAATCGACGTATGGTTACATCTATCTCTGTGCTACCTGAGTACAGCTTCAAATCTTCTGCTTTGGTGTGCATGTGGTAGAAATCCCCCCGCTTAACACAGACAGTCACCACGCACATCATTGCAAATCAACATGCTGCACAACCCCATTTCTTTTGAAGAAAAGAATATTTATATTTTAGAATCTGAAATAGGAACTTCAGATGCTGTGCTGACTAATATGTTTTCTAGGGTAGGCTGGAATAGTTTCTGCTGTCTTCTCTCATTATTTTTCTAACTTGCCAACAAAATATATTTTTAAAAATTTAAAATACGTGCCAGTGAATAATAAATGCTTTCGATCTTTTTTGACTTTTTCCTACTCCAGTTTCTTGCTAAGTTGGTCAGCCATCACTTTCACATATCCTTTAAAAATTGTTTCTTTGATAAAACGCGTTTGTTAGTTTATCCAAGGAGTAAGTGTTTTGCTAAGAAGCTGGTAGTTAACTTGAAGGCAGTAGCTTTCTGACCACTAATAATCAAGCAAAGCCATGTTTTCAAATATTGTCTGGAATAATGCTTTAAAAATTTACACACTCCCAAATTATTATGTGTGAAACCCACAACTGCACATGCAAATTGACTAGAAAGAGGCATTCTGCCAGCGGCCCCTGTCAATCTCTGGAGTGTGTTTTCCAGTGGTGTGTCAAAAATGGCAAGGGTTTTGCTAGTGTGTATTAAACTTGTCTGTCCTGAGCCAAGAGATTGACCCCAGCCAGCAAAAGCTAAAGCAGCCACAAGAGTTAAACCCCAGCTGGGCCCATGTCTGAAGAGGAGGAGGAGATTTTATGAATTAAGTTCTTATGTTTTAGATACATGCAGAAATGTTCAGTGCAATGTTGCTTAACTGCAAGGAAGTCTTCATTGTATGAAATCATTATGTGCCTTAGTGATGGGCTTCTGCTTCTAACTGCTACAGAAACTTTAAAAAAAAGCCACTTATACGTAAATATGTATATTTACTTATACGTAAATTCGCACACCAAACTTTCAGGGTCTGTCCTTACACGTTCATAGTATCTGATTTCAATACATTGGAGGCTTTTGCCTCTTTGAAGTACTCTGTGGGTTGAGGGTGGGATTTGAATGCATCGTATTAGTTTGTTTCAGTTATTACAGTAATAGAGTAGTAATTTATAGCCTTTTAATTTCTGGATTTAAGGGGGGGAGTTAGTTTAATAAAGTGTGGCTGATGAATCTCCTGCGGTGTTACATAGGGATCAGATGTGATCCCTGCTAACAAATCCAGATTCATTAGCATAACTCAAATCCACCCTCTAATATATCTCTCTAGGAAAGCCAGATGAATTTGGTTTTGGCTACAGTTGCATTAAGCTCTTGATTCATAAATATAGTTTGGTTCTACCTGGGATAGGTAGGTATTCTTCCCTGGATAACGAAGATGCATGATCTGTGACATAGTAATTCAGAATCGGTACCCAGCACAGTTTTATTACCAAACCAATGTTACCATGAAGAAAACATGTTAGTTATCGACCATGAAGTTTCATTAGGATTAGGTTTTGGCCATGCAAATGAGGCAGGATTCGTTAACGCGGCTTAATTCCAATCTACGGTAAGTCTATGTGAAATGCTCATTTGATAAGGTTCCTTCATTGTCTTCACCAGAGTTTATCCCTTAATCTGTTAAAATGTTATGAAAATGCAGTTGCAGTGCTTATACAGAGCCCACTTTTAAATGTTAATTTTTAGGCTCACATTAGAATATTTTATATCACAAAATGCAACCATCCAGATTAAAAATCAAAAGCTTGCCAAATTTTGCATTACAAGATGCATCTATTTATTTTTCTAAAGGTGACTTAAATGGTTGCAGAAACCTCTCAAAACTATTTATTTGCTCGTTTCTTAAGGGAAAAAATGTTAACCAATTTTTACAAGAAAAAATTCCTCCAGCTCTGAGAACACGCATACTAACTTTTATCCCATAGGGAAATACTTCTGTCAGAATTGTAAATCCCTTAAAATAGGGGCTCGTAATAAAAGTGTGTCTAAAGCCTTGCAGGATATCTCGGTACCGAATTTCTGACAAAGAGCTGTTCTGTGTGCTAGTGAAGAATTGATATAAATATCTGTGAGGCGTGTGGTGTTAATTACTCCAATGCAGTGGCACTGTAGGTGCTGTGAAAACCTTCACTTTTCATCAAGTGCTATTCATATTTGCCAGGGGCACTATAAAGCTCTCAAATCTATATTGATTTTTTACATTGTATGTCACATTGGAACCAAAACTCCAATAAATTTAACACGTAAATTATAGTCATGAGTAAATACATTTTAAGGTGGTAAGTTCACTTAAACACAGTTCTGTGCTTTGTTAGTCACTGATGTGTACACACTTGGCCAGAAGACTCGATGCATTTCTCCGCATTAACCAAATTTGGGAATACAGACTTCAAAATTAAATAGCAGTTTGATCTCCTGGGGTACTTTGTTCTGCCAACACTGTTATCAGAAAATCTAGAAATTATGTGATTGTCATTTAACTCTTAACGAAACTTTGTTTCTTAGGATGTAACAAATACCCATGTAGAAAATAAAATAGGCAGTTAACAAATGAAAAGAGTAAGAAGTAGGAGGATAATAATCAGACAAGGGAATGTGGCAGACCAACATGTAAATGTTAGTTGCATGTTGATTTGAAAATGAAGACGCGCCGATGCTTTACATGACAAAAAGTTATTTTTGTCATCGCTGTCCCATTCGCTTTTTAGTCCTTTGCATAAAAGAAGCCAGAATGGGAACAGCACATTGGCTCCATTCATTGCGATGGGCTGGTGACTGGGGCTTTTCATGCTCCAGCGAGAGCTCTAATGAAGATCGTCAGTCCTCCTCCGTCCATCTCACTCATGCTTATGCAAAACGTCTTTGGTCTAGAAGCATTTTTAATCATTTTTAAGCTGATGTGTAATACAGGATTTTTATGGAATATGCATGTGTCTATATGCACACTTCTGTTCGTGGATATCCGCGCATGCACACACACACTAGAAATATTAAGAGGCATGTTCCATGTCTGCCATTTTAACAGTGTTATTTCAGGAATAACTGTGTTCAAATTTATATGCTAGGGCAGGGGTCTTCAGTTCCTCGGGATTGAAATATTCTCAGAATTTACAGAATCTGCACTAATATGCTAGAAAAATAATATATAAATCTTCTCTTTTAAAACTACTTTATAGTCTATAATTGAACTTTGATCTTTATGTTTGAGCTTTGTCATGATTTAATATTACCCAAAATGAATTGCCAACCTTCAACTTGATATTGGCCTGCTAACTTCCTGATTTCTGAGCCTTTCTAGTCCAGAAAAAGAATAATGTTTCTGTGAAACCGTGATTTTAAAGCTATGGTGGTTGCGTTGGTAATAGACTATCACAAAATACACTTTCAGTAAATGGTAAAAAAGCATGAGTAACAACTTAATATAAATGACACTGTGGGAAATGAGGAAAATGCCGCTGGCAAGAAATTAAACTAGGTTTTTTTGGGGTAGGTTTTTTTTTCCCCCCCAAAAAAACTAGACACCGAAGGAACTTCATTGATTTTATTTCTTAAGTTACATTAAGGCAAAAACCAAAACAGCATAAAAATTGGAATGGTTACAACTGTTTCAAGATGAAAATAAAAGCCACTCAATTGCTAGTGAAAGGAACTAGCTGTGATTTGGCTTGATAGGCTACGGAACAGGGCTCAGCATATGTTGGTGGCTGTGCAGATAGCAGCACAGAGATCACCAACCATTTTATTTCCAGACAAGGGAAAATGTCTCATATGTCCCTGTGGACCTTGGAGCAGTTCAATGTAAAGAGTGTAACACTCATGAGAAGTCCAAAAGAGTAGATTAAGACCTACCTATAGTATGTTCTGTAATTCTTCTTTAGCAAGTGATCTGGTGTCCATTTCCTAACTTAGGGAAAGTTAGGAAATATTTCCTTTGACTTGCAAGGGTATTTCTTTCTTTCCGTAACCATTACATGGACTTTTGGAAGTACGTTTTCCAACCCTGTGGATAGCCAAACACCGGACAGAGTGATTTTCTCCTTTGACATGATGGTCAGAAATAATTCAGATAATTTTAAAATATCTCTTTTTCGGAGATCTGTTTTGAGGACTACAAAACAGACTCACTCTCTTTGCATTCAAACGAGCTCTTGTCCCCAGTAAAACACCATCATTTCTTAAAAGAGACCAGTGTCTGCAGTACCCTCTATTTTCCCTTTTCCTGAGAATGTGAAACAAATCTGGTAGCTCATATGCCACTTAATAGTAACTGTTCACAAATGTAATTTTTTTTTTAAATTGATGACCACCACAGATCAACGCTATATAGTAAATCTCCAAGTTAAAAGGACTGGCAAGATGCCCAGCTAGCATAAATCAGGGGAGCTCCATTGACAACCTCTCTGACTTCAGTAAGCTGAGGACCTGGCCCACTTAATGTAAAAGCGTCGTTGCATTATTTGGAGCCCCAGCCTGGGATCAGCATTATTTTAGTGTCTGACTTAATATTTCAACTCTACAGATTGAGCAGCTAGAAGCAACCTTTCAGAACACGGCCCTTTCCAACCACCTCCCTTCCCCTCCAAAAAATTCAGTGCCATGGTACCTACTGTTCTGCCTTCTCTCTGGACATTCCTCTCTTATTTTGCCTTTTCCTTCTCTGTTCCCTTTTTCCCTACCAACGTTCAAACACATATAAAGAAAACAAACAACTTAGATGTTGATACAAAACTCTAGTGGTCCAGCAGTTCCAATCCAAATGTAGCTCCTGGAAGGCACTGGATTACCTAGATATATTTCATGTTTCTAAAAACTTTGGCATTACACAGTTACACCTTCTCCTCTTATGTCAGAATTTAAGCTTCTGCCTGAGAAATGGGAATATTAGCCATGCTCTTCCCTGTTTTTTTAATAAAAAACACTGAAGTATGAGTTCCTTCCAAGTGTGGCCACATCTCATCCATGGACACCAAAACCGGTTAAACAATGACATTCTCAGTGAGGATGTGGCTTTAGTGATTTTGTTTTAATTGTTTCTTTTCCAGAAGTATTGTCTCCCACAGACTAGATTTCTGCAGCTCAGAATTAGTGGCTTTGCTGCAGCCTGCGAGAGCTACTCGAAAAAAGTAGCTCTGTCAGGCTCAGGGAAAACTTGAAGCTCACCAGAACGAGCAATTCATTGCAGCTGTAATCATCATTTTATATTATACAACTTGCGAATGTCCATTCTCTCCTCTGCTGGTCTCTCATTTTACATCCATGTGCGAAGCTGTCACACACCCCACCATCTTAAATAGAAAGTTTAATGCACAGATATCAGGGATGTGTAATGTAAACCATACCACCAAACATATTATGAATATATTGCTCTTCTTAAAAATGCTTGTTGGTTTTTCATACTACAGTATTGACTAACTGTCTGTGTTTGATGTATGGTTTACCAGCCTGATGTAGACTTATGGTTAGAGCTTAACTTGTTAGTTCTGCTTTTGCAGCCAATTCAGAATAACTACAGATGCCCCAAGATATTAAAATTGACTGCTCAAATGGACTCAGTGTGGGAGTTTCATTGGTTTTAAATTGATAACAGCTGAAAGAGTGAATGATTAAAGCTGTATATGGGCATAGTATGCAGCTCCTTTGTACAAGCTCTTGTGAACAGAATCCACTGTATGGGAATTGCCTTTGTTCTAATAAAAGATATTTCTGAACAATTGTTAGTTTAAATTTTTAAATGATGAAACAAGAGCATTTCAGGAGCCTATAGAGGAAATAATTCCTGAGAAACTGGAATAAATCTGAGAAGATAAAGTGGATATCTATTCAGAGGGGAGCATTTAAAGTTAAGTAGCATTCCATAAGGTGGTAATTGTGTCTATTTCCCAGGCATTTGAGTTAAATAAGTTGGATAGGAAACATAAACCGTCATAACAGGAGGTTGGGAATGTTGTGTACATCTTTTATTTTTTTTTCCCCCCAAGTCATAAAAGATGAAGTTTTGAAGTGCCTTATCACAAATAAATCAAACAAAGAGTTTTTTGCCTCTTTTATCCCTTTGGAAGAAGTTCTTATTTTTTGAAAAAGTGTCCTGGATAGCTTTCCCTTAAACTAATTTTAAAATATATACACACACCTATAACGGACTAAGAAAATAATATTTTAATCTGAGTTACACATAAATCTAGTTAAAAAAAATAGTAATTTGCCATTCCTATAATTCCTTGTTTTCAACATACTGCACAAAGGAATCTTAACAGAGTTTTCCTGAACTATGCCCGTGCCCTCTAAGAGTGTAAATATGGCAGTGTAACTACTGCCATTCCCATGTTTATGTACAGAAACAGATCCAGAAAAAAAATCAATGGAGTAGAGAGAGTCATGGAGTTTGCGCTTCAGGAGTACCCAGAATTCCAAGTATTTGGGTGACTCTTGAGATCATGTACTTAAAAATACTCATGAATTTCTAGAAGGGGGAAAAAATCTCCAAAGCAGTTCTGTGTTGTCATTTTACCATAGTCTCTTTTGATGTCCAGCAACTACTAATGCTGATTTGCTGCCCCTTCCATTCAAGACAAAAAAAATCCTGAATGCCTGTTTTCTAAAGATGAGGTGTTTCAACGCTTAACTGCAGGCTACAGAATGTGACTATATCCGTATACTGAAAGATGTATAACATGAGGTTAAACATTTTGCTAAAGATACAGAACCTGCACCCAGAAAAGAAGTAATGGGCTAGGTGAGAATTGCAAAACAGTTTCCAGCCTTTTCGGAATTTCCTCGCAGGAATACCAAGTATTCTCTATTCATACTGGGGATTAAAAAAGTAACTGCAAACTAGTGTTGGAAGTTGGTTATAAAGTAGTTATAATAGGCAAGACGCTGAACATCCGTGCATTAATTTTCTTTCAGTTCCTCATGTATTGTCATCCAAACACAGTGCAGTTCTTTGCCTGTTTTTCTTCTGAAATTGTTTACAAGTGTCTTTGTCCACTAAATAAGATTCATTTTTACTTCTTTTTAACATAATTTATGTTGGACACCATTCCATATTATGCAAAGAATTTGACAGGTCTCTGCTAAAATTTTAAAAAACAATTAAGATGTCAAAAGAGGAAGTGCTAGTACATTTTAATCATAAATCTCTGTATATATAATTACCACTGAAGGCAGCTATAAATGTTTTATGAAGAAAATGTAACCAGACTGTGCTTTGTCAGAAACATAACCCCAAAACATGTAACAGACTGTTCGCTAATGCTTAGCGCCACACATGCACACAACCTTCCTCGGTGTAGTTCTGTGAACCCAGTCCTCCATCCCTTCTGCATCCGAAACTCCGACTAACTTAAATTCAGCCTTTGATGTACTCTACCAGAATGCAGATCACATGCATTGGGAGGTGCTGGAATAAACTTCCCACATACATATCAAGAAGTCCAAACCATCCCATGTACCCCACCGTGTTTCCCTGATTGTTCCTTACTCTTGGGGTATTAGGAAGGAAAAGGCAATTGAGTTGCTCTTGAAATCTAATCTTAGTAAGAAATAGTAGTGATTAATGATAGGAAAGCAAAGCTTTCCAAAGCAGAAAACAAACAAATGTTTTTTTGCCTGTTAGTGAGACAAAGGTGCGCTGCTTGGAGGAAGAAGCACTCAAAACTGATTGTGGTGGAAGGTGGTGGGACTGACTAAGGAGGAAATATCCAGTGCCGTGGGAGCTGTAGAGGACAGCAGGAGCTCCTGCTGTTCTGCAAGTGAGCGTGCTTGTTGGGTTTGATGTTCAGAGCCCAGGCTTGTGCTAGCACCCGTCAGTTATCTACGCAAAAGTTTTCAAAGCCTCTACACCAATTTCCAACTTGTAGTACTATGTTGAAATGCTATATACCCAAAGACTGTCTCTTCGGGTAAATGATGACAGTACACTCCTATTGTTTGAGCATTTAACTGGCTCCTATTGAGTAGTTTCTCTCATCTGTTTGATTCATTTTGATTCTAGCTGACAACATCCCCATTACTGATTGCTCTCTTCATAATTTCTCAAACACAGAGAGTAGAAATGAGGTAGAGGAAGCTAATTAGTAATCTGAAGAGTTCAACCTGCTTATACAAATCAACATAAAGATCAACATTCCAAGTTGATCAAAATTTTAAAATCATAAAAACTAAAATAGCATTATCTCGTTAAATGCTTATTCATCAATGAAAGAACACAGATCATAAATTAAAATTGGTGTAAGATACGCAATCCTCATCAAACAACATCTAGTACCTTCTATTTTTTAAACAGGCCATGTGATGACAAATACCCTCCTGTAAAGATGAGATGAAATTGTACTAAGTCTTAATGATGCAAAGTAACGAAGCCCTGGCATTCTTACGGTGCTCTATGACAAGAGTGCAACTCTGTGCAATATGAGTTTCAAGGCTGGACCGTCAGTTAATATCATGCAAGATTTTGGATTCAACAAGATATCGAGCTGTATCTCTAAAATGGCTTTCACTCTTTTGCAGTAGGTTCAAGCAAACTCCAGAGACCTCCAAGCATTAGAAGGGTCGAGGTCAATGTCTAAATGGCAACTGAGGCTTGAGCCTGGAGGACCTATGCAAGTCCTACGGGCAGCAGGTAGTGAGAGGTTTGGTTCTGCGACAGAAGGTAACAACCCCTAGGACTCAGAAAGGATTTCCTTCCAACTTTGTCTCTCCATCTTTGAATTTTTAATTAATATGCAAACTCAGAAGAGAGAAAAATCCCACTACTAATAATATGCCTTAATATATTTTCCTCTTTTTTTCCAAATGTAGATCAAATTTTTGGGTCCCATTTGCACTTGGTTTGTGAGCACGAGAAATCTACAGTCCCTCAGTTTGTAAGACTGTGTATAAAAGCTGTTGAAAGAAGAGGTGAGTACCTTAATATTTAACACAATTTTTTTTCCCTATTTGTAATCAAAACTCTGCTCGAATTGCCAGGATAGGCAGGCAGTTCAATTTATGATATAGTTATGAACTGAACTACATCACATTCTGTATCTTCATTTTCTTTATATGATAAGACACTAATAGAACCCATTCGTGCTGATTATTCCTTATATTTTGTTTGACATGTTGTTGTTTTAGTCTTTCTCTGGGTAAGCAAATGCTAAACGTCAATAAAATGTCAGTAACTTTCATTCTGAACTCTCCAGTGAGCATAATGCCAATACTTTTTCCTAAATCCTGAACTGTATTTAACCAAAATAAATGTTGTTCTAGTGTGACCATATTTTTTTTTTAATATGTGCAGGTGTCTAATTTTTACAGTTATTTTAACAAGCCATAATATTGTAAGAATATTGGAATGAGTATTCATACTCATTAAAAGTTTTGATTAATTTAATAAGAAGGATTTCATGGTATAAAAAGATGTGCTTAACACCGTTGCCTGCCTTCCTCTCTTCAGAGTGTATCTTCTCTCATTGAAGGTCATTTTCTTTGGAAGGTACATGCTGTAGATGCAGAATCTTAAAATGTATTGTATAAAAATGTGAGGCTTCATCACCATCTGTTACAAGTTTACAACTTGTTCCAGGGATCTGGGGAAACATATATCTTGCAAAAGATAGAAAATTTATTTTCAGAATAAGGCTGGGTGAACCCATTGTCACTGCCATATACTGGAGTCTCAGAACAAGAGAACCAATGAAAAATAAAAAGATACTTAGACCGTTAACCACAAAGGAAAAAGCTATTTTAATTCCATCATTGTTACCTGGTTTTATAGTGAAAGGTGCAATAAAACTACCCTGGAGTTTCAAACTCTGAGAAATTCATGCTTTAATTATACAGCAAAGAGAGCATTGGGATATTATTATTCCCAGAATGATTGGCAGGAAGTCAGAGACTAACAAAGTGGAGATCGTTCAGTAGGGGGAGATAGTAGCATTGGTTTTTTGGAGGAAGGCTGGAGGCTGGATAAAGAAAGAGACAAAGAAAGGGGAGAAATGTGTGAAGTGACTATTAATAGAGGAGGAATTGTGAAGAGAAATTCAGACGTGAAAAGGAAAGGCAGAGATTAGATTATAAAAATGCCACGCCATGCAGAACATGTCTAATTGACTGGTTACAATCTTTGCACAGGTTCTTCAAAAGATGCACTAGATATTTCATAGATGTTTTGTGGTATCTGACCACTCCTCCAGGAGAAGTGAGGCCAGAGGTCTCTGCAATGTTTAACTGTAATAGAAAAATCCAAGAAACGTAATTAGATGTTTATTGTCTGTGTGATTATCAGAGAAACGTTGATGGAAGAAAATGAAAATATCACTGTTTCTTCAGAGGAGTCCATCTTTCGGAGTTTTGCATTATTGTTCTCACGTTTCCTTCAAACTTGTTGTGACTTCAGAGAAGTCTACCCCTTTTAGTTAGTCTGGTATGTAAATAAAAGCTAATCATATGGCGTGAGATAAAACTTCATTTTATCGCTGTATTTATGAGTTTGTATTTGATATACAGGTTTTTTTTCTATTATTATTTTCTTGGATTAAGATGCTTGCATTTATTCACATTCTATTTACTCAAAGTGTTGTTTTTGCTAAGTTCTGGCATAAACTATCTCAGGACAGCAGTAATTTATGTGAAGCTAAGTCCAATGTTTATGCAAGCTTCTGATGACATTTTATACCGGGGTTGGTATTAGGAAGCAGTATGTGGAGGTGCCAAGTCTCCCGGCATGGCTGAGACTCAACAGATCTGAAGCCCTCCTCTTAATGGCCAGATATGCCTCCAGCCAAGATACTCAACTGCAGAGTCATGGGAAATACTTATGTACCAATTATGGGAAAGGCACATTTAATGAAAACTGTATGTTTACTTTCATAGTCTTAGTAAGATGGCCTAGATACTCAGTACAGCTGGCATACTGGCTGTTGTAAAAAAGCTTTTTTTCCTATTTAGAAAATATATCATCTACATACTGTAACTGTACCAAAAATGTTACTTGCGTGCTTCATTTCAGATAAAGGATTATTAGGAAAAAAGACCATAAGAGACTAACCCTAAGTGTTAGAAAACATTCGTACTTTGCTGAATGGTTGTGTTCTTATTTATAAGCTCATGGCTTTAATTATTATTTACCTATTGATTTTCTATTTGTTTTTCTGATTTTTAAAACATTATCGCTGTGCACAGAAAGAAAGTCTAGCAGTGATCTGAATAAACCATATTAATTAATACATTTTCCTGTGTAGATGAGGTTACGTACAATATCCAACTGTGGTAATATTCTCCCACAGATTAAAAATGTAGAGGGTGTCATTAACTTTTGGCAGGGTTTCCTGTTTAGTTTTTTATTTTTAAATGAATATCTACATTGAAATCAAAGGAATTATTCTGAAATTACTTTGCTGCAACTTAGATCGGGTTTTGGTCATTTATCCCCCAGGCTACTGTTAGCTTATTCACCATTTCAGGACAAGGGTGCTTTATAAGGTCTGGTCTAAAAATTCTCACACAATAATGCATATTTATCTGTCTGGCCAGGATTCACTTGTTCAAGAGTGAATTCCATTTTTTCAGCCTCGTCTGTTGTTTTTAGTTATTGAAATAGGACTAGGAAGGAGAAGGTCTTTCTACATTTACTCAGCCATCTTACAGAACTGGTAGTGGACTTTCATAAGGAGAGTCAATAAAAATGTGCCCGTTCTTGTAAACTTGCAAGGCAGTTGTGACATTTAATACATTTTTTTTTTATCAAGCTCAGTTTTTTTCTTCATTCTTCCTGTACTATTTATTCATCCATAATTTTTGATTAACAGCTTGTCCCGAGTATTTAGCTATACAGACCTGTGCCACTGAAGCCAATAGTAACTATGCAAAGAGCGTTGTACCCTTGGTATCTAATGCAACGTTTCCTAAATAGGAAACAGCTCCCACATATATGATGTGATCCAGTGAGGATAAGAGAATAATTCTGTACCGTGCAGTGATCACACTGAAGAAATACAGTGGCTGCTGAAACATTTCTAGTGTTTCTTCACTTTCTGCTTTCTCAGGGACTTGGAGGGAAAGTTTCTGATGGAACAGTGTATTCCTTGTTTTTTCTGTGTAGGCTTTTACTTTGCCATCAACATCTACTTTTGGATGAACCTCAGGCTTTTCTGAGGCTATCGGTTGACCTGCCTTTTTCAATCTGTATTCCACGCTCTTTCTTCTCCCCAGAAAGTCTCTGATAGGTAACCCCAACCCTGAGCTGAGCAGTGCAGCAAGGAAAGCCTGGGACAATCCTCCCAGTGTACTATAATTCACATGCTGTGCGCTCCTGCCAAGGGTGGGGCCCATTGCAAGATTTTTGGTGTTTCTAGGCCAGATATTATTTCCAGTCATTTCTTGAGTCTCCTATTTATTTTGTTATCCATGACCCTTTAAAAGTCCTGGCCGGTTTTTTATATAATTTTTTTTTAAATATGTGAAAGGCATGACTAGAACGCATGAAAAAAATAAAAATACCAGTCTGCGTTGTACCTAAACAAAATGCCACCCAGTACTTCTCAAAAAACCCTGGCCGGTTTTTTATATAATTTTTTTTTAAATATGTGAAAGGCATGACTAGAACGCATGAAAAAAATAAAAATACCAGTCTGCGTTGTACCTAAACAAAATGCCACCCAGTACTTCTCATAGTAGAGCTTTATCGTGTGAAAACAGTCCGATACTGACCTCTTTTCCAGGGATGATAATTTGTCTGTGTGTCTAATGACAGAGTAAATGAACACCCCGAGCAGTCAGTATCCGAAACCTATCGAGAGTATCCAGTATAGTTTAGGTTTTGTAAAGAAATACAGTACTAATGCTCCAGGGAAATATAATTTAACTTTCATCTCTCTTTTGAAACGTCCTTCATTTTCTGCCTCCATTCCCAAATCCAAGTTAGTGTTCTCAGATCAGCCTAAATGACTTGAAAAATGGCACTGCAGGCAGCAAGGCTGATGATTACAGGTACCGTTTCCATTCTAAACTGGACATTGCAGACATTGTTTTCTGTTGCTTTTCTTGGAGCACAGGATGCTCTGACAGGAATGATACACAAAATTACATATTTGATTCAATGCCTAAAAGCCACCCTGGGATCCATAACCTTGCTTAAAGATTTAAGAAAGACCTTTAGTCCACTTCTGAGAAGGTTCTTAGCTTAGAAAACTTTATCTTTCAACTTTACTTCTTAGCAGCTGTTATGTTTTTTTGCTGTCGTTTGTTTGACAGGATCCAGTTATAGGTTCCGATGTCTGTTTAAAGAAACAGGGAGGTTGTTGGCTTTAAAATTCCCTTACTGCTTGTGTGTTCAACATTTTCCCAGGCTTTTCTACATAGTTTGCCAAGTAAAGGGACTGACCTTTTGTAGCAAACACTTTTTCATTTCTAAATGCTCACTTTGATTTTTGTCCCATTTTATGCTCATTCCAAACTGTTTACAACCCACTAAAAATGACTGTGAATTATATGTTTGTGTAATGGATTCCTTTTGTGGTTGGAGTGGAATGTTTACTTTGAACAATTAGTTATCTTTGGGCAGATTATAGTGACCTGAAAAAAGAATGGCTAAAATTATTATAGTACCTTAACTATTTCCTTTTGTTATCTTCTCTGTTTGTTCAATGTATTATTTACTGGGTTTCGTTGCTCTGAGCCCCAGTGAACAAATCATCTGAAGTAAGAGCAGTGACAAAAGGTCCCTGTGCAGAGTAGGGCTCTTGGTCTGGGGACTGCTCTGCTGGGGTAGGACCGGGTACGTTAGGGAGACTTCAGAAGTGACCGTTAGGCTGGGTGTGCAGTTTTAAGAAGACAGGGTTTTGAAGGACGTTTTAAGCCTTTGCTCTCTGAAAATCAGGTTTCTTAAAGGTATCCAAAGTTTGGCAGCCCGAAGGACC